TCCAACCCCAAACCCATCCCTGAATGTTCTCCAACCTCAACATCATCCCTGGACCTCCTCCAACCCCAAACCCATCCCTGAACCTTCTCCAACCCCAAACCCATCCCTGGACATTCTCCAACCCCAAACCCATCCCTGAACCTTCTCCAGCCCCAAAGCCACCCCGTGGTGTCCGGGTGTCCCCGTGGTGTCCCCTGGGTGTCACCTGTGCCGCTGGACGTCGGAGGCGCAGGTGGTGAGGATGTTGATGGCCGTGAGCCGCGTCTGTTTCCGGGAGGGGACGAAGACCAGGACGGGTTTTTTGGGCGAGTGCTTCATCACGGCGTGGTAAACGGGCTTGGCCATGGACAGCAGCCGCGTCTGCGTGTGGCTGATGTTGAAACCCTGCCGAAAATCCCAAATCCCGCTGAATTCCAAGGGATTCCCAGCCAAAGCCGTGGGAAACGCTGGAAAATTCGCTTAATTCCGGCAGGGTGATGATTGATCCTTGTATTGATCATCGATGGCCAATCCCAACCTCAATCTTATCCCAATTCCAATCCCAATTCCAACTCCAATTCCAATTCCAATTCCAATCCCAATCCCAATCCCAATCCCAATCCCAATCCCACTGAATTCCAAAGGATTCTCTGCCGAAGTGGTGGGAAATGTTGGAAAATTCGCTTAATTCCGGCAGGGTGATGATTGATCCTTGTATTGGTCATCAATGGCCAATCCCAACCTCAATCTTCCAATCCCAACCCCAATCCCAATTCCAATCCCAATTCCAATTCCAATCCCAATTCCAATTCCAATCCCAATTCCAATCCCAATTCCAATTCCAATGCCAATTCCAATTTCAATCCCAATTCCAATCCCAATCCCAATTCCAATCCCAATCCCAATTCCAATCCCAATTCCAATCCCAATCCCATCCATCCCAATCCCGCTGAATTCCAAAGGATTTCCAGCCAAAGCCGTGGGAAACGCTGGAAAATTCACTTAATTCCGGCAGGGTGATGATTGATCCTTGTATTGATCATCGATGGCCAATCCCAACCTCAATCTTATCCCATCCCAAATCCAAGAGTTACCAACGATCCCATGGGATTTTTCCAAGGATTAATCAGCCAAGAGTTACCAACGATCCCAAGGGATCTTTCCAAGAATTAGTGATGATCCCAAGGGATTTTCCCAAGAATTACCAATGATCCCAAAGGATCTTTCCGAGGATTAATCAGCCAACGATCCCAAGGGATTTTTCCAAGATTTACCAGCGATCCCAAGGGATTCTTCCAAGAATTTCCAGTGATCCCAAGGGATCTTTCCAAGGATTAATCAGCCAACGATCCCAAGGGATTTTTCCAAGGATTAATCAGCCAAGAATTACCAACGATCCCAAGGGATTTTCCCCAAGAATTCCCAAGCATCCCACGGGATTTTCCCAAGAATTTCCAAGGATCCCAAGGGATTTTCCCCAAGAATTCCCAAGGATCCCACGGGATTTTCCCAAGAATTCCCAAGGATCCCACGGGATTTTCCCAAGAATTCCCAAGGATCCCATGGGATTTTCCCAAGAATTTCCAAGGATCCCACGGGATTTTCCCAAGAATTTCCAAGGATCCCACGGGATTTTCCAAGGATCCCACGGGATTTTCCCAGGATCCCGGCGGCCGCTGTCCCTACCTGGATGTGCAGCTCCAGGGGCACGGGGCGCACGTTGGGGTGGAAGTTGAAGGTGGCGGTGGCGCTGCAGCCCAGCCAATGCGCCACGTCCTTGGCGTTGGACAGCGACGAGCTCAGCGCCACGATGCGGATCGGCCGCTCGATCTGCGACGAGATGTAGCGCATGCGCGAGCAGATCACCTCCAGCACCGGCTGTGGGGGAAAATGGGATCGGGAATGGGATCCGGTCAGGAGATCCCATGGAAACCCCTCTGGAAACCCCTCCTGAATGGGAT